AGTTCCACATTTGTCTTCTCTCATACAGTCGTCATCATTAACGGTTACAATATGAGCCTCTAATGTAAGCCAACATGTTTGAACAAACGAAAGCTCGACATTGACGGGCGGTCTGACGGAAAGAACGTATCTGGCCACCATGTATACATGCGCCCGAAAAAGAAAACCCTTAAGGCGTACAGCTCGTGTGGTGGGAGAGCGCATATTTAAACGCCCATTGACGGTAATAGAGGGCGTTTCATTCACACGTTTTTTTTTAATGCGCAGATTGCAACGGCGAGCCCCACCACTACCTCGCCGCACTGGACCCAGAGACGGACGAGTGCAATTGCTCCAACTACTGAATTCTGACCGATTCCTGAAAGGAGCACTCGAGGTCCATGCTCTCGTGACGTGTTCAATGGACAAAAAAAAAAATTGCCGGCGAGGACAGACGACTCGACGTTTGAGTCTGGCTCCTCATGGCCGCCGCCTTATACCAGGGATGTGACACGTCGAAAGAGTGCATGATGGTCCTGCGTGCTCCCTCGATCTGAATAAAAAATTCACGTAGAAGGCACGGTTTTGCATAAAGACTTCGGTTTCAAGAGAATCAGACATTTTTTTACCTTTTTCAGGCGAGCTTTTTGACAACCTTTTGGACTGGAACTTGTGCCGCTATAGTACAGTCTTTGAGTTTTTCTTCAGTGATTACGGGTTGTCTAAAGTGTTAATGTCCTATAGGTGTATGAACTCAGCAAACATAGTGCAAACTGTGGAGCAGCGTTATATCTTTGTCTCACGGTGCCCTTTCGATTCACCATCAATCCGGATTGGAGTAAAGTTTCTCGAACACGATTCACTACCCTTGCACTGTATGCGCCAGTGGGCTCGTCACGACTGGAATTCGATTCTCATTGGGCCAGATTGCGATGAGATTGGAAGAGCCCCGTGTGACAACTGTATTACGAAAGTCTTACTGAATGATCTCGGCTGGTGGCGAAGTTGCACGTAGATGCCGATAGGCGTGCGCAAGGTTCTTATTCGGGGGAGGGGGGAAGGAGGAGGGAGCGAAGGTTTGTCACAGTGCCCCCCCCCCCCCGCCTATTGTTAATACGTGGCGCTGATTTTGCCCCTCCCCTCGAGTGCAGCCCCCCTCCTATTACGGCAATGTATGGCGCTGACTGTGCCCTCTCCTTGATGACTAAGGGGGGCGGCCGCGCCCGCCTGCCCCGCCCCGATGCGCCCGCCTTTGTATATGCAAATATATACATAATATACAATTATATAGTTTATAACGGGCCAAACGTACAGCTTTATGTACACCTCTTGATATTCCTTCAGGATGGTTACAAGCGTGCGATGACTAAAAAAAAAAACAATATCCGGATGAAGATCATGCATATTAGGTGGTTACTCGATGATAGTTTCTTTAGACTAACGATGCTTCTCATGTCCTAAAACGCAAATGTTGTGGTGGAGCTTTCACAACTTAAGTGTTTACGGCACGCAATGCGTAAACTCATTGCGAAGATGTTTTGCCAGCTGAATTCATCCTAATTCACCAGTCTGACAGGTTTCTTTGATGACGATGACGCCTTAAATATGGCTAATACCCACTCAGGGGAATCGGCCAAGAACTGATTACCCGAGTTGGACCTCACTTTTCTTCTTGAGAAAAGGCTGGTGACATCGCGATAACGGTAACTTATCGCTATGTTTGATTAATTGAAGTGTAATGAGATGGCTGTGCAGCATCCTGCTCAAGTTTTTTTTCTGTATCACACACATGCGAACCACGTTACAACCAAATTACCAGTAAGGATCGCACGACCAACCTCGACGTGCATGTCGGAAGCGCTTTAATTGTTCACTAAGTTGGGTCTGGCGTCACCAAATTACGTTTAAATTACGAATTATCAAGTGGTGATTGACTGCCATTCATAAATTTGGACTCGGAACACCATGTTTCAACAATAAAACCAGACTACAAGATATTAAATCCACGTATCTCACCAGGCAGTTGAGATCTCGACTGAAGGTGCTGCTCCGCATGAAGTTTGCGGACAGAAGGACGACCGAAGACTTCGCTTAACTTTGCCTTGAATGCTGTCCAGGTGGGAACATATACGGTATTGTTATGTTATGTTATGTTATTACTGTGTATGCTACCTTGAAGTAGCATACACAGTAACAACTGTATCTCAGCGACGTTCAATAATGCGTGCGAATGACGCGACCACCAGTACTATAGACGTGCTTCGGGAGCTCCAGCCAGGGAAGCCACCGCGCGGTTGATATTATTCACTGCGTTCTTTCTTTTATTTTCTTCCCTTTGTTTCGTTTTGTCCGGCAACGCAATTGTTCTCGAACCAAAAGTTTTTAACGTGTAAACGCTGTGGTTATCGACGTTGTGGCTACTCCGCTCCCGTGCAGCAACCTTTCCAGATGGCGGCCGGTGCCTCGGCGTCCTTGTAGACAAGACCGTCGTAGGTGGCTGAGAAAAGAGAAGAACACAGGTGAAAGAATCGCGTTCAACTGTATTCCGCGACATCAGAGATAAAAGAATGACGGACACTGCTTAGCGTACAATGGCAGTTCTTCGCGGCATTAAAATTATACGAAGAACAAAGCTTTGATAAGATTGGGGGGGGGGGGGGAGGGGTATCGAGGCAGGCAAATGTCGGCAAAAGTAGCAACGGCGTGCAAACAAAGCTACTTGTTCTGGATCGGAAGCAAACCGCCTTAGCTTATCACCACGAGCTAATCAACGCTGTGAGGTTTAAATGGAGGAGGGAATATTTCGCCTTTACGAGCACCTTTAATGTTAGCTTCACCACAGTGCATTTCTAACATGCGTCTTGGCTTACGTAATGTTATTAGAGAATCTTTGAGACTGAAATTTTCGTTTCTGACTTATCTACGGTAAACTGAAGCCTTAATTGCGTCTGGTAATGCCGAACTTAAGTTGTGAATGCCCTAACGTATATTTTAATTAATAATACCATTGTTAATTCTGACCAAATATAGCATCACTTCAGAACCCTCGCCTAAATACGTGAGAGCGTCTCAAAGCGGGGAAGCGCCTGAGACCACGTGAGCTCAAGCTTCGGTGATGCCGAAAGCAAAGTTTTCAATTCGGGGAACCCACGCCGTGAACAATGAAACGATGCGGGTGCTTTAAGCTCTCTGAAACCGGAACCGAGATTGGTCGGTAATGAAAGGCCTGTAATTATTTATCTGTGGTACGCTGTAGCAAACGATGTGCCATGTCACGACTAACAGTGCTCTAGCATCACATTGCAGAAAAATAAAAGTGAGGACAAGAAGAAGTCTGTATACCCCTTTAAGCACCAGCGGGCGGCGTTCAATACAGCGAAGAGCTTTACGATGCGTTCAAATCACCACAGTTCTCGACACACGAAATGTGCAGGTTTGGGCGTTGCCGCATTGACCTATATATATACCTGCACTATCAGACACGTAATGATTATGATAATTACCACATAGATCGCGCTAACCCACAAAGAGGGATGGGCCAAAAGCTAGGTGGCAAGATGCTTAAAGTAATTTCTGCGAAAGTAAAACCAAGCTGGGAGTTTAGTTTAAAAATAAAGATCGAATAATTGAATATGCTTAATTAGCAAGCGACCAGACAATCTTCCTGACATAAATGACGGATTTCGAACCAAGAATATGAATAGATAAATATAGATTTCAGCTGTAATATTTTTGTTGTTTTGATGCATTCGAACAGGGTATAGATATCCTGGTGGCAGAAACTGTCGCCAAATGATAAGATTACTGGAACATTTACTGCCAATTCTAAATTGGTGATTCTAGGAATGTTTTGCTCTGATGAGAACAGCGAATACCTGAAAAAAAAAAGTTCTATGTTTCAATTTCATTCCAGCACATGCACATTGGGACGCGAGAAGTACAGCTTTGCTTAAGTAACAATTCAGCTGCAGATGTCTACAGCGTAATCTGGTGTAGTAAACTTCTCACGGGCGAAATAGACACCAATGTTTATTCCAGCAATGTCTTGGAAGCACGAAATCTTTAATTTAACCCAATCCTAATTTACCTGTTTCAATTCGCAAACCAGAATCTCCAAGCTTTAATGCTGCCGCGTAAGCCGCGCATCTCGCAAATCTTGGATGAGTGGTCCAATCAGGATTACAGTGCGGATAACGAGTCCGCCATTTCGTTCAGTTATGATCAGCCAGGAATCTTTAACAACTGAAGTTATCGTAAATTTTACGGAGACGACGCCACGTTTTCATCAGTGCTATATTTGTTTCTGCTGAAAGCGCAGTGCTTATTTAGAGGGAATCTGTAATTATCACTGTTGCCGATTCACTCGGGGAAAATTTGCGCAGAGCCACAGCAATAGCCAATAATTTGACGATAAAAACAGGGGCATAATTCAAGGAGTCTTGTTTTGTCGCCCAAAATGATCTTGGCTCATATCCACAAGTGGTATCGATCACACTGTAGTCGAGTATATATAGTCGTTGTTGTTGTTTCCCTGAGCAAATGGCTCGTACCCAAAGGAGGGGATTGGCCGATTATAAGGTGAATTCGCCCTATACTTTCAGCATTGCGTCATTCCTACAAAACTTTTGTAAGTTAATTTTGATTTGAAATGCCGATATCAAGTTTGCAAAAAAAATGTAGAAAAATAGTGAGTCGAACCGAAAAGGGCCAGTCAAGAGACGTCGTCTTCGTATTTTTCTTTTCACACTCATCATCGCGCTAGTTAACCGCGGGAGAATGCGAGCTGTGACGTAATACAAGCGCTCGAGAGCTGCTCGAGCGCTACGAAGACCGCCACAAGAAAGAGTGCGCAATTTTATCGTCAAAAAAAGAGAGAAAAGGAAATGCACACCTAAGGATCAAACGTGTTCATGATGCAGCTGTCTAGCCACACTTTTTTGAGTAAAGTAAAGACAAATTAGAGCTTATAGACGCTATAAATACTGAAAAATCACTTCACGTGCGCGGCGGACTGCACGCGTCTGGAACACGATTCGCCGCACTATACCACAGAACACCTACACGTGGCACTCTTTCAGAGCCATCAGTTGACGGGCGTTCGTTGTCGACGTCCGAGCTCAGCGTTTCCGTGGGCCGTCGATTCCAGCCCCCGCCCCCCTGTTCTTCCCAAGTGAGTATTTATTCGACAATGTTCCGGGTTTAGACACGCTTATATGAGCAATGAGCGCCCTTTTCCATTCGTGCGCTCAATCCAGGGAATTTCAGAGTCGCGATAAGCTGGGTCAGCGCGGTCGCTAGGCGCGTCCGCCGCACGATATACTACACTAGTGCCGGCTTGGTCGTGAACCGCATGAATATTCATAGTAATCGTAGCTCATTGCTTGCGAATCTACCCTGAGAATTCAAGCGGCGCGCTACGGAGCGAGGATGTGTTCTGCTCCTGTCGAAACCGGCGTCTCCTCATAGGCCTAATCTTGTCGGCGCGAGTGGTTGCGTAAAGACCAACGACAAATCACCGCCCAAGCTCTCCGTACAGAGGGCCAACCAGCGAAGGTGGAACTTGCTGTCACAGGCCATTGCAGACATCTTGGCAGAAGCCGCTTTAGAAACCACCGCCGAAAGCGGGCGTAGGCCATGGCCAACGCGTTTCCGCCATTCTGTCCTTGAAGGTGCTCTGCCTGTACCAGGCGGGCCACCGCTTAATAAATCGGGATGATCCCACCTCACCTGGCCACCTTGAGAGAGGGCGCGCGCGCGGCGCGGCAGCCATCAATAAACAGTCCCTTGCTAGCTAGCGTCTCGTGTGGTTGTGTGGTTTCCTGAGCGCGTAAAGTAGAACATGGTGTCAGAAGTGTAACAGTCGAACCCTGCGCTGAAGATGGACTGCCTACCACCACCCGAGCCACTTGTACTGACAAATACTCCGGCCGACAACTGGAAAAAGTTCCGCCAACGAATCGAACTCTACTTCAAAGCTACTGAGACCAACAAGAAACGGACGCCAGCACAGAAGGCTGCCATCTTTCTACACGTCGCGGGCCCAGAGGCAATTGAAGTGTTTAACACCCTACCTCTATCAGCAGAACAACGAGAGGACTATGACTCGATCGTCAAAGCCTTCGAAGACTACTGCACGCCTCGGTGCAACGAGACATTCGAGAGGTACGTTCTGCGCAGTCGGCAACAACAGGATGGTGAACCTTTCGAACAGTTTTTGCGCGACATTCAGTTGAAAGCACAGACTTGTAATTTTGGCGAACTTAGGGACTCGATGGTGAGGGACCAGATAGTGTGCGGTATCGTCGACAAGAAGCTACGTGCACGCCTGCTTCAGGAGAAGGACTTAACCCTAGAATCAGCTGTAGAAATCTGCAAAGCCGCGGAACTGGCAGCAACGCAGAACCGGGCTCTTGAAAGCGAAGCGAAAGTGCAGAGAGTCGAAAAAATTGCAAACGCTGCCGGACAGTCTCGTACGAGCGGACAACGTCGACGCTGTGGCTACTGTGGCAAGATTCACGGACCAAGACGCTGCCCAGCGTTTGGAAAAACGTGCACGCTGTGCAACAAAAGAAACCATTTTGCAGCTTGCTGCAGGAGTAGACGCGGCGTTCATGAGTTAGGCGTCGCTGCAACAGAAGATGCACTGGAGGAGTCCTCGGACGCTACCGATGAAGACATTCAAGTTCTCACGGTACAAATCAGAAACGTGTCCAAAAATCAGGATTGGACGGTGGCAGGGGACCTTGCCGGGCACCCGACAGAACTGAAAGTGGATACAGGAGCGCAAGCGAACATATTGCCGTACTCGTACTTTCGCAGGATGCGTTTGCCGACCATGGTGCGGCCATCGACCACAGTACTTACTAACTACGAAGGAAGCAAAATACATCATTTGGGCGTTATCAGTCTGCCACTACGTCTAGGAGAGCAGCAAGAGAATATCAGTTTTTTTGTGGTCAAGAGAGGCAAGCAAGTCCTACTCGGATTGAATGCAGCAGAACGTTTCGGGCTGATTTCCCGCGTTCACGATGTATCTTCAAGAAGTGACGTTAGCACCGACTGGGTCACCGAGTTCCCGGAGTTATTCCACGGTCTGGGCTGCATCCGTAGACCATATTCGCTGGCAATGAAGGATGATGCGCGCCCCACGATCATGCCGCCGAGGAAAGTGCCACACGCACTGCGAGCGCCACTTAAGCAGGAGTTGGCCCGGATGGTCTCGCAGGGCATCATATGCAAAATGGAAGAGCCGTCAGACTGGGTGAGTCCACTTGTTCTTATTATGAAGAAGAATGGCCGCATGCGAATATGCCTAGACCCGCGGTACATTAATCGAAGCCTTAAACGCGAGCATTATCAGCTACCCTCACGTGAAGAAATAGAAGCAGAGCTGGCAGGAGCGGTGATGTTCACCAAGCTTGATGCCAATAGCGGGTTTCACCAGATCCCCTTAGACGAAGACACTTCAAAGATCTGCACCTTTAGCACGCCGTTCGGAAGATACCGATTTTTGCGCCTGCCATTTGGTATCGCGTCCGCCCCCGAAGTATTTCAGAAGGCAATGACGGAAGTGTTTGAAAACCTGCCGGGCACACGCGTATATGTCGATGATATTTTAATTTGGGGTGCATCAAAAGAGCAGCATGATCAACGCCTGCGTGCAGCACTGATGGCAGCGAGAAAGGCTGGCCTGACACTGAACAAAGAAAAGTGTCTGTTCGCGAAGGCCGAAGTTAAATTCCTGGGAGATTGTATCAGCAAAGAAGGAATAAAACCCGATGCTAGTCTCATTGAATGCGTTGCCAACATGCAAAAGCCGTCGAGTAAACAGGAAGTTCAAAGGTTTTTAGGTATTATGAATTACTTTGGCAAATTCATACCTAATCTCTCAAAAAGAACTGACGCCCTTAGGTCATTGATAAAGAATGATGTTGAATTCATATGGGAAGTTCACCATGACAAAGAATGGAAAGATCTTATTAAGGCTTTGACATCGGCTCCAGTGATCGCAGTTTTTGACCCATTGAAGCAAACGAAACTCTCAGCTGATGCATCAAGCTTTGCAGTAGGTGCTGCTCTTCTTCAACTCCATGACCAAGATTGGCGCCCAGTGGGTTATGCTTCAAGGGTGCTCTCAAAGGCTGAAACAAAATATGCCCAAATTGAAAAGGAAGCGCTGGCCGTGACGTTTGCTTGTGAGCGTTTCCGGGAGTTCGTACTGGGGTTATCAGTGACAGTCGAAACAGACCACCGACCTTTGCTTGCTATTTCACAAAAGAACCTGAGTGAAATGCCGCCACGATTGCAGCGCTATTTCTTGAGGCTAATGCCTTTTGATATCAAATTGCAATATGTTCCTGGGAAGCATCTGCTAGTGGCGGACACACTGTCCCGAATTCCAGGAACCCAACCGAGTGACGGAGAAAGCGAACAAGACGTATGCATCCATGCGACTCGCGTGCTAGCCAGCATCGTAAGTGAGAACACGAAGACTGAACTGACCTCTGCAATCCTGGCGGACCCATACCTCAAGCAAGTGGTGGAGGCACTCCAGGAAGGACGACCAGTCTCAGGCGAACTAGCTCCATGTTTGTCAGAACTGTCATATGTTGATGGAGTGCTTTTGCGGGGCAGCAGGGTGGTAATCCCAAAGAGTCTGAGGCGATCCATGCTGCAACGTCTTCATGAAGGCCATTTGGGAATGAGCAAGTGCAAAGCCAGAGCACGCCTTCTGATGTACTGGCCTGGGATGAATGCTGACATCAAGTCACTCATTAGCAAGTGTGCCACATGTCAGCACTTTGCCTACCGGCAACCTTCAGAGCCACTGTTATCGAGGGAAATCCCAACGCGGCCGTGGCAGCGAATTGGTGTCGACCTATTTGACCATGGGGGCAAGCGTTACCTGGTTGCGTACTGTGCCTACTCCAACTACCCAGAAGTGGAACAGTTGCCTCAGTCAACAAGTCAGGTCGTAGTGGACACACTAGGGACCATGTTTGCTCGCCACGGTATACCCATTGAAGTCTGTACCGATGGAGGACCACAGTTCACATCGCGAGAGTTTAGACAGTTTGCAGTAAAATACGATTTTACTCATACCATATCCAGTCCACACTTCCCCAGGGCCAATGGTCTAGCTGAGAAAGGGGTACAGGTCGTAAAGCGCCTCTTGAAGAAAAGTGAGTACGCTGGCGAGGAGTTCTGGGTTGCACTGCTCAATTATCGAATCTCGCCCCTGATAGACGGACGCACACCAAGTCAGCTCCTTATGGGACGGATGCTTCGGGGACGACTTCCAGACTTCTCATCGGCTTCGACATCGTCAGTGCGGAAACATCCACAGGATCACGGCAAAGGCATACCTCTCACACCTCTCTCCGAAGGGGACGTCGTCAGAATAAGAAACGACAAGGGGTGGTTTCCGAAAGCCCGAGTAGAGAAACTTGCTGGCCCTAGATCTTACATAGTCTGTACAGATGAAGGCCGGCGTTATCGAAGGAATCGTCAGCATCTAAAAAGGACGCCCGAACACTTAGACCCACTGGATGACAAGGATGTCGCACCGATAATCCCGTCGCCTATACAGCATAGACAACATTCAACATCAGATACAGCGCCCGATTTGACAACAGCATCCGCATCACGAAAGGAACGACATCCGTCACAACAGGCGCCTGCATCGGATGCTCTACTGAACCAGTCAGCTGCACGTGCACCACCCATTGCAAGTCAACCATCAAGGGACCCCGACGTGGTCCCGTCCCAGCATAAGGTCACTTGCCAGGCACAAGAAGCAGCCGACTCGAGTCTCAGAAGATCAACTAGGCCACGTAGAGCACCGACGCGCTTTGCCGACTACATCACCTAAAGAAAAAGGAGGATGTACCAGGCGGGCCACCGCTTAATAAATCGGGATGATCCCACCTCACCTGGCCACCTTGAGAGAGGGCGCGCGCGCGGCGCGGCAGCCATCAATAAACAGTCCCTTGCTAGCTAGCGTCTCGTGTGGTTGTGTGGTTTCCTGAGCGCGTAAAGTAGAACACTGCCTACATGGTCCTTCCTCGGCTCGCCGTTGTCGCTCGCATTCGACTCGGAAAATTGCCGGATTCCCGATGCGCAGTGGCTGCTTGCACTTCGCCACCCAGGCCTGGTCCTGTGTCTAGAGTG